TTTCCTCTTTATATTAAAAGTTAAAAGTGTCATTCAGGAAAGGTGTTATTAATTTGTATGTAATGTGGAATGACCCTTATTAATCTAATAGAACTCTGCTGTATCTTAATATGTCAAATAAAAAATATGTCTTCACTTCCGGTTGAATTACAATTGAGCTAAGCTGCTTTTCTTTTCGAACTCTGCGGATATATATCGGAAAATATATCAACCATAAACAATTAGATAGTTGAATTATTAAAAATTTAAAAAGCGACCGGCTTGTTCGATATAAATTAATGGCGTTTTCTTTTCTCGAAATAATGTTGGCCTGTTTTCTTCAGTCCTTTTACAGCTTCACGTGTCCATTTCTCAAAATATTACCCTCTGACTGAGCAAAATACTTTCTGCTAATATAACCATTTTTCAGGACGAAAAGTAACCTAGTGCAAATGTTACAATGTTAGGCAGAATTGTTCGACTAACAAAAACGCCATAAGTTTGTAATTTATCGCTTTTTTGTATTTAAGTAATACAAACATGTACGTATAACGACAGTTTCCTTTGTTAAACAAAAATAATTTGTAATGAATTTACCAGTTTCTGATTTGGGGATTTATTTAACGAGTGGTGTAAAGCTTAGCTACGTATAATCCTTATTAATAAAAAAATTCTAATTGCGATTTCTGTAAATATAGCATTGACACGTTAAGTTAAACTTTTGGCAAATAAAATTAACCTTTAGGAAAATAAATTTAATCTTCTGGCAAATAAATTTAATCTTTTGGCAAATAAATTTAATCTTTTAACAAATAAAATTAATCTTTTGGCAAATAAATTTAACCTTTTGGCAAATAAAATTAATCTTTTGGCAAACAAAATTAAACTCTACCATAGTACTAAACAGTGTGTGAAAAAGTAAAAAATACACTAAAAAATTGCTGTTGCTGTGCTAGGAAAGCATTTTTTTTAACTTTTGACGCTTAGCTTTACTCGCCAATATCAAGAGTTAACCTCCAGGATAGCTGAAAATTGTTTTTTGGTTTTTCTGTTCTGTTGATTTGACTGCTCACTCTCAAACAGCATGGTCTCAAATATTCATCAAACTATCTGGCGCATTTAATTTCAACTAAAACACGCATTATGGCCAAATGGGATAAAAACATCTAAACTGCTACAAATCTTGAACTCCCTTAATATATTTTCAAACAAAAAAAATTTATTTAAGTGCATACGCACATATGTACATTAGGGTGCTCATCGAAAAGACCCTACCCCCTAATTTTATTCGTTTTTATTAGAAATATTATTGCCTATTTTTATAGATATTTTATAGGTCATTTAGAGGTCGCGACCTGTCGATTTAGGTTTTGTAGATTTACGAGTTTTTGAATGACTATTTTTGACTCGATTTCAAAGATCGAATGTCATCTGAGAAGAGGATATATAGGCCTTTAAAATGGCATTTAATAATCTATTTTCGGACTTGGCTTGTTGGGATTTTTTATGGAGTAAAACAAAAAAACCCATATTTCTCTTAATTTTTTGAATTTTGACCATTGATAATTTCCACAATTTTAAATTATGTAGTACTGTCTAAAATCAAATCTATTTTCAAAAAAAATGATATTTCATTAATTGCAATCGCTTTAAAATTGTCATATTTAGGAGACTTTTCTTAAATACGGCCTTGAATTTATATTATTTATGTACCGGACTTTCAGATTTTTTGAGCAGTGTGGCTAAGGAATTCATCAATATTTATTCAAAATTGATATATGTACATATACAATCGTTATTTAGCAAAATGGGGGTGGCACCGCCCACTTATATGATATATGCGTATCTCAAAAACTACTTGACCGATCTCAACCAAATCTGGTATACACATTGTGCTTAGCCTCCTTAAGTACCGTCTTGAATATTTTTGAAATCCGACAAAGCCTAATCCCCCTAAAATTTAGCTAGTTTTGTGTTTTTTGATTCCACCGTTACGTTGGTGGAACCCGTGGTTTTGTCCGATTTCAAAATTTCGTTTGCGGCTACGTTTTTATTGTGCCGCCTCGCCATGTTATGTGCGTCTTGTCAGTCAAAAGCATCCCTGTGACGCTGAGAAGAATTTCTATCTGGCGGGGCCTCTGTCCATTATTTTTAAACTTTTTTTTACGGATAATGAATTTTTATATTATTTCATGATACCATGAATTTTAGAAGGTAGTTCCACTTCTTCTCCTTATCCGCCATGATAGCTATCTGACAGAATTCATGTTTTTGTAGTACCAATTAAAAAGAAAAATCCAGCTTTTGACGCTGGAAAAATAAAACAAAGAAAAGGAAAACATATCAGCAGAGAAATTTAAAAATTTTTTAGCTTACAAAGATATTTTTTAAAACATTTTTTTTTTCATAAAATATGCTGCAAAATTAAATGCTGCTTCCGTGGATTTGCGACACGCGGAATAGCTTAAAGGGTACAGCTATAAGAGTCACCCCAGACTTTATCGGCCGCCGATTTAAAATCTTTTAAACAAGAAATATCGCCGTCGCTTTTAGATGATTTTTATTCATGTGATTAGTAGTGGTAGGTATGTATTAAATCCGTATATGTACACTCGTATTACTCATTAAGAGATCAGTTGTGAAATATATAAATATTTACAAGCTCCGTCAAAAAAATATCTAAAATAATAAGCGAAAATCCCCAAGTTCATTATCGTAGTAGTGGCCACATTGCGTGTTTGTCACAGACACAGTTTATGTCAAAAATTTTGAAGTGATAGTACNACCAATTAAAAAGAAAAATCCAGCTTTTGACGCTGGAAAAATAAAACAAAGAAAAGGAAAACATATCAGCAGAGAAATTTAAAAATTTTTTAGCTTACAAAGATATTTTTTAAAACATTTTTTTTTTCATAAAATATGCTGCAAAATTAAATGCTGCTTCCGTGGATTTGCGACACGCGGAATAGCTTAAAGGGTACAGCTATAAGAGTCACCACAGACTTTATCGGCCGCCGATTTAAAATATTTTAAACAAGAAATATCGCCGTCGCTTTTAGGTGATTTTTATTCATGTGATTAGTAGTGGTAGGTATGTATTAAATCCGTACTCGTATTACTCATTAAGAGATCAGTTGTGAAATATATAAATATTTACAAGCTCCGTCAAAAAAATTTCTAAAATAATAAGCGAAAATCCCCAAGTTCATTATCGTAGTAGTGGCCACATTGCGTGTTTGTCACAGACACAGTTTATATCAAAAATTTTGAAGTGATAGTACCTTCTAGCAGCAATGTCGAACTTATTGCCCAGTATTGAGAATTCTTACCTAATTATTAAAAAGGGCCGACCGTCCATCTGCGACAAATTTATTACCTAGTCACAGAAAATGTGTTTGACTCTAGGCCTGGGAATTTTAGGTCCCACCGAATTTACGATTATTAATTCTAGGCTAATAAAATATGTAAAGGGAAATAAAAAGGTATTACTCAAAATACATACTTCACTGGTTGGGATTGAAAATGATAAAATTTTTCATTGAATTTAAACAGGATTTAATAAATTGTAAAACATTGTTCACCATGTATCGATGTTTTTCTGGCGATGTTGATTTTTGCCATGGAAACATCGATTCCAATCTTCGTACAAATTTTAACACAGTTCTACATTTAAGAGAAGCAATTTATAAAGACTCACCTCTATCGCCGCATTGTGCAAGTATGCAGATTGTAAGTTAAATGTGAACGCTTCATTCCATATGGGATTAACAGGATCGTCAGATTTGCTAATGCTTGTCTTCTTCTTCTTAACTCTTTTCCCATTTTGAATGAGGTAAATCTATTAGGAATATAAGCAAGAGTTTATTGGTGTTTTGTGTGAATTGCTTTAACCAGATCACCTTAACATAGGGTTCTTGTAGTGTATCTAAGTTCTTTGCCTTCATAATTACAATTGTTAGACGTTCGGCTTGCGGTAAATAGTTAAGCGAACATAAGAGTTCAGGTCGATTTTCTTGTGGCTTCTTGACACGCAACAAGTCCCCCCAGATCTAAAAAAGGATAGAAGATGTTTGGCTTGCTTTTATATTAAACCACCGGCACTTTTACCTCCACCGATTTAGACAGATCCAATTCATCTACAGAGATGCGTATCTCTCCGATTATGTCATTGTGAGAGTAACGATCATAATCTAAAACTTGCAATTTGAGTTCTTTGCCTTGGAGCTGGTCGCGTGAAACGGGGAACTTGAAATGCTGATCAAAGTATGGATTTGATTCACCCCGATGTATATGTGTCTGTCGTTTTCGGTTGTCTACTTCAGGCTCAAGCAGAACGCGCACATATGGATCGCGAAAACCTCCCTCCTCAATCGGGCAAAGGTTGTGAGCTTTGCAAAAGAGAAAAAACATCAATGTGAGCAATGGAAAATAATCATACCATAACCTACCTTCGATCAGGTGTACAGTCAAATCGAAAAGATGATAGTCGTATTTCACACGCAAATGCAAGCGTCCAAGAGCTGGACTGGACTCAGGTGCTGTCAAATACATCGGGCCGTCTGGAACACGATACAGGTCGGGCTGCAAAGCACCTAATGGCGAGGCTGGTCCAATGGCAGGGTCCACACCCGCTGTCGTGCGTGGCGGAATTAAGAGAGGCGACAGACACCGACCGACCTTTGCCGTGGTCATGCTTATATTGGAAGCAGCCGATCCTCCGGCTATCGAGGCGAGGCTACTTTGAGAGGGGCTGGGCGTACGCAAGTCACTCACATCAGTCGAAGCGGGACTACCGCAACGGGCATCAAGTGAAATTGTACGCATTGGACTTGGTGAACGAGCTAACTGCAAGTACGGTTAGAGTGTTGGAAATAAGTCCATTTTATTACCATAAGATATGCATTTAACTTACGTGATGAGGAAAGCCGGGGTCGGCCGGATGTGAGCTTCGTCCATCGGGCCCGAATGTACGAATCTGAGGTGATGAGCCACGATGTGCCTTGAAAAGAAATTTAGAACTAGTTTGGGTAAACGAAAAAAGTTAAATGCTTTTGCTTTTACCGAATGTCTTGATGGTGCGCTATCCACGCTCGATTGACTAGATATAGATGGCGTGCGCTGCAGGCGCGGAGGAAAAGAACGACTCTGGTGATGTAAGTGTAATGGGCTATGAAGAGCCTCTGTCGGACCCCGCAGCACGTCTGCATTTATAATGTGAGCTGAACCGCCCAAAGTGGATGGTGGTTGTATGGGCTGTGTCTCTTTCACGACATTCACCTCCTGTAATATGAATAAAAGGATATAAATATGAAAATATATTGCCCTATGTTTATTGATAACTGTAAATGGGCAAAGTTTCTCAAAAACCTCAGAGTCCGTTGGTAAATCATAGCTATCGCTGACGCTTCCCGCCCCACTGCCAATCCCACTGGTGGTCGATGTTACCGACGAAGCGGATGGTGGTGGCGTCATAGGCGGTGGCGGCGGTGTGGATGACGCAGATGTCGTCGCACCATTATTATCTTCCGAATTGCGATCGAGAGTTACGCGACGCACGGCGCCGACACGCTCCTTGGCCATACGCGACCACGATTCGATACGTTTGTGAGCAAGCCAGCAGGCGGCGGGTCCGAGACCGCTCATTCTCTCGAAGAGGCTGATGGCGGATGTGTTGATTGAAAAACGGTATGGAATTGTGTGGAATTATTTTTTGATTGGTAATTAGAAGTTTTGGGCGGCGTTGTTACAGAGCTTTTTCAGCTATAGTTCTTTTCACAGTTTGAAGAAAAGTTGCATGTTTTTTGTTAAATCATTTCGCGGTTTAACGACGGCTTCTTTTGAAATTTAGTTATTGATAATTTAATAAAATATCAAGTCACTGATCTCATTAGAAGTACCACCGCACTATATTAAGATCGAATTTTCTACAAATCTAGTTATACATATACTCGTACCTATACATGCACTGTAAAATCTTCTTATTAGCGAAACACATTTGATGGCAGCCCTATCACTGCAGTCATTTAATTAGTTTTAAATTATCCTTATCAAATTTGTTCATGCACGTATGTATGTAAATACATACATGCCCAAGAATGTGTGCATAATAGAAATATTTATTCTTCAATTTATTTCCACGGCGATAAAGAGAATGTACTCAACCCGAAACCGTTTATAATCTGAAACTCGAAAGAACCAATTTCGAATTTTGAGAGTTGTCTGATTGGATTTTTCACCCTGAGATTTTGCGCCTTCCGATCGAATTTCGGGGTCAGGGTTTGCCACAAACATCTCAGGGTTAGGGAAAAATTTTAAGTTTTTATACTTTTGTTTGTTTTCAAGAAACAATTTAATTTTTACACCAAAGATACTTAGATATCGCCAATTTACTTTAATAGTGCCAGAATCGAAGATAATACTAATTCGAGTTCTCTAAGTGTGCAGAAATTATCTCTACCTGTTATTCTATGTTGTGTAATTTCACTGCTGTATCGATTATCAACAGCTCACTAGACCATAATAAACTCCTCCCAACAACTATAGCACATTTGGTTTGGGCTAGGAAAAGTTTGGCCTGTGCGGAATAGGCTAGTTTCTATTTAAAAGGCACAATGTTCCACAAAGAGAAACGTCAAGTTGGATGAGCACTGCCAACAGCGAGAGAAAGAGAATGAGCGATAAACTTCAGAGCGTTCTAGAGTTGCCATAAGTGCGAGCGCAGGTATATAAGGGCGCCACCACAGTGAAGTGAGTTAGTTACAAGTTAGCAAGCTACAAGTAAAGTGAGCAGAGAAGTGAGTTGCGAATAAGCAAGCACAGTTTTCAGATATTCGTTGCAGCTACAGGCACAGAAGACACACGTATCACAGTTGCTGGAAGTGCAGGATTCAAAGATACCCAAATGCAGGAGAATTTGGATAGAAATAACGAACAAATCAAGGATAGACAGGATAAAGTCGAGGCTAAGGTAGAAGAGTTGGAAGGTCGCCTCCGAGATTTGCAGATGAATCGTCCAGCTACTTCGACAAGTGCTCCCAAGGTAAAGACTCCATCCTTTGACGGCACTATTCCTTTCCAAGTCTTTAAGCTCCAGTTCGAGAACACAGCTACAGCAAATCGTTGGAGCATGGAGGATAAATCCGTTGCTCTGTTCGTGGCATTAAAAGGACCTGGAGCGGAAATCTTGCAAACTATTCCCGACTGTGAAAGGAACAATTACGATGCCTTAATGGGTGCAGTGGAAAGACGTTATGGTAGCGAGCACAGGAGACATATTTTCCAGATGGAGCTAGAGAATCGCTGCCAGAAAGCCAACGAGACTTTACAGGAATTCGCCTCCGANAGAGCCGAAATCTTGCAGACTATTCCCGACTGTGAAAGGAACAATTACGATGCCTTAATGGGTGCAGTGGAAAGACGTTATGGTAGCGAGCACAGGAGACATATTTTCCAGATGGAGCTAGAGAATCGCTGCCAGAAAGCCAACGAGACTTTACAGGAATTCGCCTCCGAGATTGAAAGGGCCATTTGGCAATTGGAGATGCATCTGGTAAGCACCTCAAAAGAGTAAAAATCCAGAGGTTCATCAACGGAATGCGAGACGTGTATACCAAGCGAGAGACGTACGCGAATCCCAAGCCNAGAGAATCGCTGCCAGAAAGCCAACGAGACTTTACAGTAATTCGCCTCCGAGATTGAAAGGCTCATTTGGCAATTGGAGATGCATCTGGTAAGCACCTCAAAAGAGTAAAAATCCAGAGGTTTATCAACGGAATGCGAGACGTGTATACCAAGCGAGAGACGTACGCGAATCCCAAGCCAACATTTGCTGAAACTGTCTCGTATTCTCAGACGCGTGAAACGGTGGCGCTCCTAAGTAGACTAGCCTACAAAGCACGTCGCGTGGAAGTGAAGACCGAACGAGACAAAGGATATGCTGAAGAAGCTTATCCAACTGCTGGGCGAGAAAAAGCATGGCTCTGGTAAATGTTTTAAAGCCAGGCCACTTCGCCGGCGGTTGCAGCGCAAGTTCCAGTAGGCTCAACAATTCAGCNGACGAGACAAAGGAAATGCTGAAGAGGCTTATCCAACTGCTGGGCGAGAAAAAGCATGGCTCTGGTAAATGTTTTAAAGCCAGGCCACTTCGCCGGCGGTTGCAGCGCAAGTTCCAGTGGGCTCAACAATTCAGCAGGACGCAAACGCAGGGCTGAAGGAGACGAAGCCAACTCCAATCATTCGTTAAACTGAAACGAGCCAGCAGGAAGGGCCGCGTGCTGGCTCCAAAAGTTGAAGGGCCCATAATCTCCATCTCACAAATTGGCCGGAAAGCATGCATCCTCACTGTTGATGGATGTGTGAATGGGCAGGAGAGAGTACTGACAGTGGATGCTGGAGCGAAACATTCCATTATTCGACCGGATTTGGCCACTTTTTATGTGAAGCCATTACCTGGAGAAAAGCTGCAGACTGCAACTGGTGAATGCACCCAAGTGTTAGGAGAAGTACAATGCGAGGTAATAATCGACGGTGTGGCCTCGTACACTAAGTTTATAGTGGCAGACATTGTGGATGAAGTCATCATCGGCGTGGATTTCTTACTTGGCCAAGGCATGAAGATTGACCTCCAGAGAATGATCCTGACATATCGTCACAGGAAAGTGCTACTTAGGGTTGGTTACGACAGCCATTGCTGCAGCAGACGCTTAGTCTTAGAGGAAGTGTCGAAGATTCCACCAGAAACGGAAGTGGCTAGTTGGGCAGAGGTTGACAGTGATGGAGACGAAATGGTTTCGTCAGAAGAAGGAAGTGGTTCACCGATACAGGAAAAGCGTGGCGGTTCCGCCAGCTCAGTGAAAAAGAGGTCGCAACAAGGAAGTGGTCATCCAGGCAGCGTTTCCGGCTGGAGGAAAGCCGCTAAACCACGTTGCAATGGTGATACGCCGGTGGCCGCAAATGGAAGCAGCTGTGGGAACAGTAGGCGCGCTGTGAAGTGTCCCGAAAAAGGTGGTCGGCAAAGGCGAGCAGTTAAGCCGGAAGCCAAGGATGAGGTTATACATGTTCGGTCAATGAGGTTGACACCGGCAAAGGAGCAAGATGCGGAAACACTGGGCAAGTTTCAGCGTGAGGAACCGGATTTAGCAAGATATGCTAAACGCAGTGCAGCACGAAGGCAGGGTCCTGGGGTGTCATGGACAGAGGATGCGGCATAGATCTGGCAAAAGGGGTGCCCACAAGAGGAGACATGGTCTGGTCACCACCAGTGGCCGGCAGAAGCACGACCATGTGAGATGGTGCACCACCGGAGATAAGCTGGAAGCAATGTCCACTAACGCATCGAGCCCAGAGGAGCTACAGGAAGGCGATTTGGTGTTTTTGCACATGCCGCAGCCGAAGAAAGGCATCACCTCCGAACAACATCGTAACTGGAAAGGTCCGTATAGGATTGACAAGCGGCTGAAGGACGCAGTGCATCGATTCCAGACAGCTGGTAGACCGAGAACCAAGATGAAAGACTAGCGACGTTTGGAACAGCAAGTGTGGCTGATCGGGACGATCAGACTTAGGTGGAGGGCAGTGTGGCGAATACTGCGGCAACGCGAAGCGAACAACGAGAAATAGGCAGAATGTTCGAGGAATGACGTAGAATGTTCCACAAAGAGAAACGTCAAGTTGGATGAATACTGCGAACAGCGAGAGAATGAGAATGAGCGATAAACTTCAGAACGTTCTAGAGTTGCCATAAATGCGATCGCAGGTATATAAGAGCGCCGCCACAGCGAAGTGAGTTAGTTACAAGTCAGCAAGCTACAAGTAAAGTGAGCAGAGAAGTGAGTTGCGAATAAGCAAGCTATAAGTTTAATTGTGTTAACAAGTTTAGTAAAGCGTTGTTATTGCTTTAACAAGTATTGTAAAGTGTTTTTACTGTATTAGCGAGTATTGCAAATTGTTGTTGTACAATAAAGTTCATTGTACTACAATTTGGTCATCGTTAGCATTTATTTAACAATCCAGCGATACGAACCAAGAGACTTGGGAAATCCGGACGAGGTTTCAAGGATAACCGCAACAATATTGTTGCCTAAATACGATTTTGAGGGCAGATAACACATGCAATTCGCTGCAAACGTATATGTGGCAGAACGCGGCAACCCGAATCATCAAGTCGTTCGGACAAAAAATCAAAATCAATTTGATTCGAACAATGAGTGTTCAGCAGTGATCGGAGTTTTACCACATTGTGGTAGATTTGCTACTTTTTTGAGCATCTACCACACAAGGTCTGAAATCTACTGCATATTCGCCTTTTTGAGTAGCTAGTTTTATTTTTTCTCGACATAATTTTCTTAATTTTAAGAGAAAAATTTGTCCAACAGTAAACACTATATGGTAACAAGAGTTATATAATACAAGTAAAAGTAAACAAAGCCGAATGGGAGGATAAAATAAATTGTAAAATAGTAAATTTTTTCAATAATAAATTTTTCGACAGGAAACAAGGTTTTATTATGTCACATAGCAAAATATATGATTTATAAAAAGAACTAATAGCGAAAATGTTATAAACGCCGATTCTTGTGAAAATGTTAGCAAATTTCAGTGCATCTAAAGTTTCTGAGGCATTGTTTACGTTTACTTGAGCATTGTCAAAATCGGCAAACCCCAAGTAGAGGTTTCTGTAACGTGCCACATTTGTTCGCTACATCCTGATGTGATAAAAAGAAAAGCTGGCAGCACTCCGCAAGGTGGCAAAATATGTTAAAAAAATATCTTGATATGGAAGTAACTGCTTTACACTGTCAAGGAAAAAAATGCCAAAACTCAACGCAATCTTTAGCAAATTCAATCTTGCACTTCATTAAACTAAAATCAATTTTTTTAGAGTCTAATTAAAAAGCTTTCAATTTAAGGGAAACTTTGCAGAACTTTTTTAATTATTATAAAAAGTTTGATCCAAAACCTGAGTTCAACCACATTTTTTTGAAATATACCACATTTTTTCCATATTCTTCCACATAGCATTTTTTGAAGTGCGATCACTGGTGTTCAGCACATTTTTGTCGCGCTCTCAGTGAGACAAGGCGGGAAAGGAACGCGTTAAATTAGTAACAAAAAGTGTCCGGGCACGAACGGTGAATCCGCCTTTATATGTTGTCTAATGGTGATTTCGTTTCTACCAAAAAATTTTGCCTTTTGATTGCCCCTCTCTTTTTTCGTGTTCGTTTCTAAATTATCGTAAATTATAGTATCACGATATCGAACGGAAAGTATCGATATGGTACTCATTTAAAGTATCGCTGTAAAAATATCGGGTACCCATTAATATCGGAATGAAAAGACTCGATATCCCAAATATCGATGCCAAAATCCAAAAAATTTCTCAAAATTGGTGTCGTATGTAGCCCGCTGTGGTGTAGTGACCAGAAGTGTGCAAACCTTCGAGTGTATTTCTGCCCAGAAAAACAGCTTCTCATAAAAAAAAATACAATCGCCGTTTAGAGTTGGCGTAAAACAGTAGGGACCCCCTTTATGGCACAACACCAAGGCCACGCGACAAATCGGAGGAGAAGCTCGGCCAAACACATATTGTGTAAACGCCAATCTATTATTATTTTTACACGTAGAGATGTTGACTA